TGATACCTAATCCGCTTGACTCTGTAAGGGGCCGACTTTTAAAATAATCCAATAGTTTAGAATCTCTTGACTAAGACTATTAGGGTTAGAAGCTGGAGACTTCACAACCTAAAGTGAAGAAAGACAAACAGGGTAAAACTCTGGATAGTTTTTGTAAAAATAAATGCAAAACTGTTTGCCTTCCTGTTTCTTCGTCAGGGCGAAGTAATTTTCAGTCGTCCCATTTATTAAACGAATATGTATTAAGAAAGAAAAACCGGACAAGAACCTACTGCAGGGACAGCTGGGGCTCACAGAGCCCATCTTGGGAGGCTGGCTGTGCCCCTTGAGAAGGTTCAAGGTGAAGGGGACACCAAGGCCAGAGGCAAACGTCCAGCCCTCGCCAGTGGGGATCACCTCGAGTTCCACGCGAGGGGCTCAGGGTTGGGTAATTGAGAGTGGAAAGTTCTGGAAAAACCCTAATCCCCCTGTTGCAACATTCTAGGGGAATGGTGTGTCTATTGAATAAGAGTGAGTCACTTCGGGAAAGTTGGGGCGGTCAGCACTGCCCCATGCTGCTCATCCCCACTCTTTGGCTCCTAGTGATGCTCCTGCCACCCTCTGAGGGCCATGGGGAGGGGGCAGTGACGTTGTGATCCGGAATTTCAACGAGACACATGCAAATGGCCCAGTGGGCTATGAAGGAAGTTCAGAGACAGGAGCACACAGGACAGCTCAGTGCTTCTAACCCACAAAGCAGAAGTGAGAATGGGTGAGAATTCCCAGTCGCCTTCCCCTTCTCACTCTACCCCAACCCTACTCCTCTGTCCCTTCCCCATTCAGAAATGAGATCACTGGCTGAGTGCAGTGGCTCATGCCTGTAATCCCAGCACTTCAGAAGGCCAAAGTGGGAGGACTGCTTAAGGCCAGGAATTTGAGACCAGCCTGGGTAACCTAGTGAGACCCCTGTCTCTGCAAAACAAATTGAAAATTAGCCAGGCATGGTGGTGTGCACCTGTGGTCCCAGCTACTTGAGAGGCTGAGGCAGGAGGATCACTTGAACTCAGGAGGTTGAGATTGTAGTGAGCTATGATCATGCCATTGCACTCCAGCCTGGGTGACAAAGCAAGACCCTGTCTTTTTTTTTTTTTTTTTTTTTGTGAGATGGAGTCTCTGTCATCCAGGCTAAAGTGCAGTGTTGCCATCTTGGCTCACTGCAACCTCCGCCTCCCGAGTTCAAAAAATTCTCCTGACTCAGATCTCCCCAGTAGCTGGGACTACAGAGGCAAGCCACCACTCCAGGCTAATTTTTAAAATTTTGGTAGAGATGGGGTTGGCCAGGCTGGTCTTGAACTCCTGAACTCAGGTGATCCACCTACCTGAGCCTCCCAAATTGCTGGGATTACAGGTGTGAACCACCACGCCCGACTGAACCTGTCTCATAAAATTGAGACCTCTGACTTTTACCCAGTTACCCAAGTCTGCCAAAATACTCATCTGTAAAGGAAAGCAGCCTTGTAAGGTCCCTTTCAACTCCAGAATTGAGAAGTGGGTTTGGGGGCAGCCAGAGGGGGTTGCTGGTGAGCAGATGACGGCAGAAGAAAGAACCTTCAGCTGAGCCCCGCTCTGTGTCAGGCCAGGAACCAGGGACCTCTCCAGAGCCCTCTGTAGAGGCTGGCATCCTTGATTTATGGATGAAACAATGACAGCCTAGTCAGAGGGTGGTGACACCAGGATCTGACCCAGTCTCCCAGGCTACCCCCCTGCAACTGGAAGCCCCCCAAGATTGGGCAGGCACCATTATTTCAGGAAACTACAATACTCTGGTTTATTTCAGCTGCAGGTCTGATCTCCGTAACAGAGGCACACCTGAAAAATATTGCCTTAGCTGCTGAGTTTTGATAGAGCAATTCTCTATTCCTGGTAACTTCCACTGTAATTAATCGTCAATTGATTACTCTGTCACTTACATGTGAGTGTGAAGGCTCTGGCTTCTCTGTCAGGAAGTGAACTATCTATTGACAAATGAGTCAAAGCACTGGGCGGCTGTTACTTACTCATGAAGGAGGGTGTTGGCGCATTTGGGTTTCCCCTCACCTGTCCTGCACGCCCTGAATGATGGGAGTCCAGAGACCTGGGGAGAAAGTGGTTTCCTGCCTCTTCCTGGGCTCATATTCAATCCACACTTTCTTTCTCTCTCTCTCAGCAGGCAAGGCTCCCCTCACCAGATTTCCATCTCAGGTTTGGGTGGCTTTTGCCAAACCTTTAACCCATATTCTACAGCGATAACCCAAGATATAAATCAAAACATTCAATTAAACTATTTAATTAAGGAATTAGTAGTCAATTGTGGATAATATTTATTTTTCTGGGCAGTTAGTGGGACTGGGTATGGGGATGAGTTCCATTTTTTACTAATTTTCCTTGAGGATAACTATATATTTAGTACACATGTAATACAATGTATTAGTGCGACAACTTTTTTTTTTTTGAGATGGAGTCTCACTTTGTCACCCAGGCTGGAGTGCAATAGCATGATCTCGGCTCACTGCAACCTCCACCTCCTGGGTTCAAGCAATTCTTGTGCCTCAGCCTCCTAAGTAGCTGGGACTACAGGCACATACCACCACACCTGACTAATTTTTGTATTTTTAGGAGAGATGGGGTTTCACCATGTTGGCCAAGCTGATCTCAAACTCCTGGCTTTATGTGATCCTCCCACCTCGGCCTCCCAAAGTGCTGGGATTACAGGTGTGAGCCACCTCGCCCAGTCAACTTTTTTTAAAAAAGGAAGATGACTGGACAGGCTGGCTCATGCCTATAATCTCAGCACTTTGGAAGGCTAAGGCAGGAGGATGGCTTGAGCCCAGGAGTTCAAGACCAGTGTAAGCAACATAAGGAGACCCCCATCTCTACAAAAAAATAGAAAAATTAGCCAGGTGTGCTGGCACATGCCTGTAGTCCCAGCTATTCAGGAGGCTGAGGCAGGAGGATCAATTGAGCCTAAGGGGTAGAGTCTACAGTGAGCTATAATCATGCCACTGTACTCCAGCCTGGGTGACAGAGGGAGACCCTACCTCAAAAGCAAAAGGAAGCTAAGGGGTATAAACCACCTGAGGAAGACTCTGGGGTGACAGAGGGTGGATGAAGTATCTGGGGGACATTCTCTGTGGCTAGTTGGTCAGGGTGCTGGCCTCACTGCTCAGCAGTCTTCTTAATGTCTCTAAACCTCAGATTCTTCATTTGAAAACCAGGCAGATGAGCTCACAGGACTGTGATGTGGACTCTCCACCCCACCCCCTAGTCCCAGTGTGGCAGAGTCCTGGCAAGACAGAGTCTACCTGGAGCTGCTCAGAAACAGCGTCTCATGGCCCACCCAGCCAGATGAATCTGTCTGCATTTTAACAAGATCCAGGTGATTGGCGCTGCTGTGAAAGTTTGAGAGGCCAGGCTAAACAACATGACGTATTTAAAACCCCTGGCAGACAGTGGGCATGGCTGGATGTCAGCTGCCCTCCTCCTCTCTCCCCTGAGCATCCTCAGACACCATCCCAGGGAGATCCTTTGCTTGGGAGGGAGAGATGTGAGTTGGATCTGCATTCTCATGGTGGGGCAGGTACTTTGTCTCCTTGCAGTTACCGATGTGGGCCAGACTACAAAGTGTGGCCTCTTGGAGTCCAGCCTGTGGTCCTGTGGGTTATAGGGTAAACCCAGGGGACCAGGGCCACGTGTGCAGGTACCCATAGATTCTTCCACCAAGCCACTGCCACCTGTGGACGTGGTCACTCCCTCTGGTGGGGCAAGGGGGCAAGAGGGCAGCTAGACCTCTGGTCATCATAGGGGTTTTGCTGGACGGGATGTGAAAAGCCCTGTAGGGGCTGGTGTCCTCAATGTGATGTTGAATGTGACAGTTTCATAGCTTTCATTACACACCCATTTTGGGGGCACCTATCCTGTGCTGGGCACTGCGGGTTCAACACTGACCACATGGACACATGGCAGGAGGGGAATTAGAGTAAGGAAGGGCAGGAAAGTAGCACATGGAGAAAAGGGCTGCACCCAGGTCAGCACACGGTGTTGGGAAGACCACCCTAGAAAGGAACTGGAGGCTGGGCACAGTGGCTCATGCCTGTAATCCCAGTACTTTGGGAGGCCAAGGCAGGCAGATAATTTGAGGTCAGGAGTTTGAGACCACCCTACCCTGGTCAACATGATGAAACTCCTTCTCTACTAAAAATACAAAAATTAGCCAGGTGTGGTGATGCACGCCTATAGTCCCAGCTACTGGGGAGGCTGAGGCAGGAGAATCGCTTGAACCAGGGAGGTGGAGGTTGCAGTGAGCTGAGATCGTGCCACTGCACTCCAGCGGGGACAACACAGTGAAACCTTGTCTAAAAAAGTAAAATAAATAAAATAGGAAGGAAGTGAGGCTCAGGGCAAGGCACCTGCCCCAAAGGCACTAGGGGAGGGCACCCAGTGGCCTTAGCCTCTGGACATTCTCAGCCACCTGGCACTAGGGAATGTTCTCGGCCTAAGGAAGGACCTGAGTCTGGCCAAAAAGGGGAGAGAGCGAGGCGCAGCCTGGGAGGAAGGTGGGGCGCTGGGGACGGGGAGCCCTGCCCTGGTGTGCCCTCTGTCCTGCGCCGCACACCCTGCCGGGAAGCCCGGGGAGCAGCTGCTCGGTCGGCCAGGCCCAGAATAGCCTCCCTTCCGGGCAGGGCTGCCCCGGCCCGCAGCGCCAGCGCCCGAAATAGGGCTCGGCCGGGTGGCGGGCGCCAGGGGCCGCCCCAGCTGCAGGACTCGCCGCGGAGCCGGGGCCCGTGCGCCAGGACCGGGCGGGGCTGCGGGGCGCGGGCCGGGCCCTGGGACGCGGGGACCCCCGGTGGGCGGGGTGGGGCGGAGCACGGGGCCGGGATCCCGGGCGCGGGGCCAGCCCAAGGCGGGTGGAGCCAGGCGCTGACCTCACACGCGGCCTGCGAGGAAGCCCGTCGGGGCCAGCCGGGCTGATGGAAGGCCTGAGGAATTCGCAGCTGGCTGCGCGGCCGGGCGCGTTCCCTTCCCCTCTCCCCGTGGTCCCGCGAGGGAGCCGCAGCTCAGCGGTTGCCATGGCCACGGGCCGGGCCGGGCCGGAGACCAGGGGCCGGGGAGCCTACGGCACCTTGTCCCGCCCCAGGCAGGTTGGCAGGGACGGGAAGAATCCCACGGCAGGGGGTCAGGGGAGGCCCCGAGGGACCCCGCCGCCCGGCCTGCGCCCTGGTCCCCCAGGGTCCTGCGGAAGTGCGGTGTCCGCCTCTCGCACTCAGACACCCAGTCCTGGGGCTCTGAGCCTCCCAGCCCCACAGGCCGCAGCCGCAGGCCCAGCACTGATGGCCTAGGTGGACAATGGGGCTGAGGGGGAGTTTCCAAGGGGTCTGGCCTCACACCCTGCCCGTCACGGCCGCCACCCCTCACCACCCCTCACCTCCTTAACCTCTCCCAGCCTTGGTTTCCTCACCTGTTAACCAGGGATTAGTCATATCTACCATACAGGCTTGTTAAGATTAAAATAGAATAATTATGTAATGTGCCATGTGCACGCCAAACGTGGTCCTCTTTCCCTGTCCCCCTCCTGCATCAGGCCTGGGGAGTGGGGCTTGCCCATGTCACCCGCAGCCCCCGGGCCTGTAGTCCTAGACACAGGGATGCCCTTGCCAGAGCCCCCCTCCCCGTCCTTGGGGTTACCTTGAACCCTGCCTCCTGCAAGAGGACGTCCTGCCTGTTGTCAGAACCTGCAGGAATCCCAGGCTGCGGCCCAAGAATATTAGTGGAGGCCCTGCCTGGCTGGGGTGAGTCAGCCTCTCCTCCCGAATTCAGTTGCAGCTTCAGCTGCATGGTTGCCAGCGCAAGGGAGCCCCTGGAAATCTCCGGGAAGACCAGCATGTCCTTGGGGTGGGATTCAGAGCACAGTGGGGTGTGGGAGGGTTGAGAAGGGGGTCTTGATCCCCCTTGTCTTCCTCGAGGGGAGCTGAGGCTTGGGACCAGAGGAGCAGTGGTACCCCATGTGAGGAAGGGTGGGCCTGACTTACTGTAATTTCCTGGCTGAGAGCTTGACTGTCCTGTGGTTGGGCTGCCCGGCCAGAGAGGCCCCTGGTGTAGGGAGGTCTCAGGGAGAACTGGCCTCCCATTGCCAGGGCCCGGTGTGTGTAATGAGGACCCCGGGGGCTTCTGTCACTGATTTCCTGAGACAGATAGAAGAGGCTCCTCTTCCCTAAGCAGGTTGGGCTACTACAAAATGCCAGGTTATTTGCAAGAAAAAAAAAAAAGCTGTCCAGAGGCTCAGCCCCTTTTGGGGGCATCAGAGCCACCAGTGTTGACTGAGTACTATGTACTAGCCATGTGGGTGTTTGCTCACTGAACTGTCACAACCACCCAAGAAAACAGGAACTGTTATTGTCCCCATTCTACAGATGGAGAGCCAGTTTAGAGTCCTGGGATGCAAGCTGGGATGTGCCCGGCTCCCAATCCCCACTCCATCTGGCCTGTAAGCATGGGAACCAGTGTGGCCTGGATGAGTGGTGGATGGCCCAGCTGACTGCCCAGGTGCCCCCACCCCCCAACCACATGGGCACGCGGCTTGCTCGGTACTCAGCTGACTTCCTGTCCCTGGAAGAGCAGCTGCCAGTATGCTGGGGCAGGGCGGTCCCCTTCCTGTGGTTCAGGTAAGGGCATAACCCCATGCCTAAGAAGGCATCCTCCCTCTCTCCTTTCCCAGGCTCTGCAGGTCAGACCTGGGTGCCCCTGAGAGCCACTCTGGGAAAGATGTTTGCCAATTGCCGAGAGCTAAGGCTGCAGGCCCTGATTGGTGAGGGCTCAGGGAGGATCTGAGAACCTTCCCTTCAGCTACTGAAGACCAGATGGAGCTTTCTGTATCACGCTGCCTGACGATGATGAGGGTACAGTGACCAAGAGTGCAGATGAAAAGCCCAGCTCTCAGGTGCAGTGGTTCATGCCTGTGATCCCAGCATTTTGGGAGGCTGAGGCGGGTGAATCACAAGGTCAAGAGTTTGAGACCAGCCTGATCAACACGGTGAAACACTGTCTCTACTAAAAATACAAAAATTAGCTGGGTGTGGTGGGGCGTGCCTGTAATTCCAGCTACTCAGGAGGCTAAGGCAGGAGAATCGCTTGAACCCAGGAGACAGAGGTTGCTATGAGCTGAGATTGTGCCACTGCACTCCAGCCTGGGCAACAGAGCAAGACTCCATCTCAAAAAAAAAAAAAAAAAAAAAAGGAAAGAAAGAAAGGAGCTTCTGAGAGATGGGTCTCCACCTCACTGTCAGATACTCCAGGGCTTTGGAAAGAGCTGGCTGGCTGTTGGGCCTCACCTCAACTTTTCCCTGACTGGCATTGCCAAGGAACTGTGGTGCTGTCCCTACTTCCTATGCCCAGCTCCATGGCTCCACCTCCCCATTCCCCTTGCCTGTGAAAGCTCAAAATAAGCTTTGTAGAGGATGATGCTTCTTGTATGAGGGGTCATCTGAGGTTGCTAAGACTGAAGCTCTTCACCAGAGAAACACAGGAAGCATCCTGCAGCTAAGTGAGGCAATGTCTGGGACATGCCAGGCCATGCCAGGTAGGCTCAGCCTGGGATGCCCCTGGCTCAGCAGCCTGCCTCTGAGCCCTGCTGGTGGCCAGGCCATCTGCTGGGCTCTCTCCCTGGGCGTCTTTCCAGCCTGTCTTCAGTGCTCAGGGCATCTTTACCAGAGCATAAAGTGGCATTTCACTTGTCCCTCTGCCCAACAGCAAGGAAGTGGACATCTCAGGCTCTTCTTGGAAGACACAAGGAAAGAAAGGATGTGGTTAATCTGAGAACCCACAGGACCACTGTGTCCCCCAAATTCATGTCCATGTGGAACCTACAAATGTGAACTTATTTGGAAATAGGGCCTTTGCATATGTAGTTAAGACGTATTCCACAGGCCTGGGAGGTCAGGGCCAACAGCATGCTGTATAAGGGTGGTCCCAATTCAATGAGCGATGCCCTTATACCAGGGAAATTTGGACACAGACACACAGAGGGGGCCACATGGTGGTCGAGGCAGAGATGGGAGGGATGTGTCTACAAGCCAAGGAGTGCTGGCCACCACCAGAAGCTGGTAGGGGAGAGGAAGTCATTCTTCCATGGAGGCTTCAGAGGGAGCACAGTCCTAGTACACCCTGAGTGTTGGCCTCCTGGCCTCCAGAGCTGTGGGAGAATCCATTTCGGTTGTTTGAAGCCACTCAGTTTGTGACCTTTTGTTACGGCCACCCCAGGAAAGAAATACAATCACCAAATGTCAAACACAGGGCAGCTAGGGAAAACAAGAAGGAAATGCATGAGGCGCATACAGAAAAGACTTGGAAGAGACCAAGGAGGGACAGGAAGGAACACTTCCTCAGCTTCTTCCTTGCACCCTGACAGGAAGCCAGGGACCTGGTGGCTGAGCCTTGGAAGAAGTGACTACTTTCCTCCCAGCAAGAGCGGGTGAGCCTGGATGTCGGGTGAATGAGAAGCATCTGAATCTTGCTGGGTCCCAGGGAGACCTGTTAATAATGACAAACTCATAACTTGGTCTTGTCTCATCCTCACAGCAGGGCCTGAAGCAGGTTTTACTGAAATCCCCATGTATAGATTAGAAACAAGCCAGGGCGGTTGGGTGCCTGTCTGGGGTCATGTGCCAGCAGCAGTGATCTGTAACACGTGCCCAGCTTTCCCACATCCCGCCCTCACCACCTATCCTCTCCTGGTCCAGGACTCCTGTGCCCATGTCCAGTGCCTTAGTGGGGCTGGGCCAACAGGCACAGTGAGCCCCCTGGCCACAGGCAGGGGAGTTGGAGCATGCTGCCTGGGTTTGGATCCCAGCTCTACTCTTGGTGAGCTGTGTGACCTTGGGCAAGTTACATTACATCTCTGTTTTGCAGTTTCCTCCACTGAGAAAATAGGGACAAGAATAGCATGCAACTCGTGGAGTTGCTGGAGACCTCTGTGAGTCAATGTGTTTCAAGTGCTTGGAATAGTGCTTTGGCACATTGGAAGCACAGCCAGAAAAGTCTTGTGAAATAAATAAAACTTGCTGGGCAGGAGCTCTTTCCTTCCCAGCTGGAGCCAAGGAGAGGTCTTCAGGATGGTGACCTGTCTCATTCTTACTCCACAGACATGGAGCGATCAGGGCCAGCAGTATTCTCATGCCATTCTGTTCTGTTTCCCATAGAACCCCCACAACCAGCAAGGAGGGTGCCTGGGAGCAGGTGGCAGAATTGGACCCACACCCTGGGCAGGCCAACTCAGTTGCTTGAATCCTGCCTCTAGGGTCAAGGTCACCATTTGATCCTGGTCTGAGCCAGCTTGGTCCTCCTGGAGGAGAGCTTGGAACCTTGAATCCTGGTTGGTCATCTGCTGGTTAACATTTTGTTCACAGTGGGAAACTGGACTGGGGTGATTCACTGTCACTCATTGCTCCACGGAAAGATGGAGCCCGGCACACATCCCCAGGATAGTGCCACCTGTCCCCTTTACGCATGGAACTCAGAATGCGCAGAGCGGTGTGTGCGTTTGGCAATGTTTATACCCCGTGCATGTCTGGGAAGTCCTCCAGTCATCTCTGGCAAAGGGTCTGCAGCCTCTACCTGGCCTTTGGCTCTTTATTTATTTAGTCAGTTATTTAGTTTAGACAGAGTCTTGCTTTGTTGCCAGGCTGGAATGCACTGGTGTGATCTCAGCTCCCTACAACCTTCGCCTTCTGGGTTCAAGCAATTCTCTTGCCTCAGCCTCCCAAGTAGCTGGTACTACAGGTGCAGGCCACCATGACCAGTTAATTTTTTTGTAGTTTTAGTAGAGATGGGGTTTCACCATGTTGGCCAGGCTGGTCTCGAACTCCTGATCTCAGGTGATCTGCCTGCCTCGGCCTCCCAAAGTGCTGGGATTCCAGGTGTGCCTCTTTTAATTGACTCGTCTCCAGGCCTCTCTCTTTCCAGCCACAGAGCCTGGCCTGATGGTCCCAGGGCCCCAGGTTGAGGCCTCTCCCTCCCATACTCAGGTCTGAGCAGTTCTGTCTCTGTCCTGGTGTGGACACAAGCTCTCTTGCTGCAGCTGGGTTGGTTGGCTGACCTTTTCAGCTCCCTCTCTTAGACTGGAGAGGCCTGGAAAGGTGCCCAAGGGAGGGTCTGGGCTGCTCTCCTGGGCTCCTCCCCTCCACTCCAGGGCTCTGGCTGGAGCCTGGTCAGGGTCCTTATTGAGTTCTCAGCCAAGCCCCAGCCCTGTGATGGCCTGAGGAGTCCGGTGGGGAAGCCCCGAAGCGAGGCCCGTGCTCCATAGCCTTCCACTGTCTCTCCCCAGCCCTGGGCAATGCTGGAGGTCTCCAAAGGTCTTCTGGGTAGGCTTCCTGCCACACCCTCTTGCCTACTTTCACCAGGTGGCTGAGGGACGCTAAAAAAGGCAGTGAATAGCTAGAGCACCTCTCCAGAAAGTCAGCCTGCTTCCTCCCGTTGCCAGCTCCTCTCCTTCCATCCTCCTTTTCATAGAATTCTACGACAGGAGGAAATAGGTCCTCTCCTCCACCTTCACCAAGTTTCCAGAAAGGATGGATGAGAGGGATTCGGTGTTCTCTGAGGCTTCAGGCCAAACCTTAGGCATTGGGCTGGCCAGAGGTCTTACTGGGGCTTCCTTGGGAATTGTATATCCACTGGGAGCACTAGCTCTAAACACCTGCGAGGAGCTGGCAGGACTCTGGGGTTCCCTGCAATCCCTCAGGGTCTAGGTGACCTGAGTGGCAGCCTAGGACTGTTCCCCAGGCTGACCTGGACCCTGATGAGAGCCAAGAGTGGACCTAGCTGTCATTTAGATCCCTGGGGAGCCTTCACAGTAGCTCCTGGCAATGGAGACGGTTCTCACATGTAGGAGGGCCAGTGCTCAAGCAAGTAGCACCAGAAAGGGCACTGGATTTGACGTCAGGTGAGAGCGGCTCCGTTTCTGCCCCTGCCACTTCTTATCTGTGATCTGAGGCAAGCTTAAACTCCTTACCCCTTAGTTTACTCATCAGGAGAGTGTAGTAGCTGTTCTTTTACCTGCCTTACTTATATCTGAGGCATGGAGGGAGGATGCAATGAGATCACCTATTAAAATGCATTTTGAAAAAACAAAAGTGCTATTTATGCAAACACATGGTACTAAAAATAAAAGATGCCTGTTTGCTTCCAGAAGTGAAAGCTGTGAATGAATTAAGTGATATTTTAATGACTCCAGGAACCCCATGAGTTAAGGAACATCTCGTCTTTTGTACAGCCACAGAGCCAGTGTCTGATGAGTTTACAGCAACTATCACCCATTCTGCTAGATTTTGTGAGTCAGCATTCAATTAATAATCGCTGGGCCGGGCACAGTCAACCACACCTGTAATCCCAGCACTTTGGGAGGCTGAGGCGGGTGGATCACCTGAGGCCAGGAGTTCGAGAGCAGCCTGGCCAACTTGGTGAAACCTCGTCTCTACTAAAAATACAAAAATTAGCCGGACGTGGTGACACATGCCTGTAATCCCAGCTACTCAGGAGGCTGAGGCAGGAGAATCACTTGAGCTTGGGAGGCGGAGGTTGCAGTGAATTGAGATCGTGCCACTGCATTCCAGCCTGGGCAACAGAGTGAAACTCTGTCTCAAATGTATATATGTATAATGTATACATACATATGTATGTATATATGTGTATGTATATATAAAATATGTATGTATATATGTAAACATATGTATGTATAAAATATAAAAAATATATTTTATACATTATTTTTACATGGTGATGAAGGAGTGGTACACGTAGCATGCATTTGGAGGGATGAGAGGTCTCCAGGGGTCTCTCAGGGAGAGGCAAGAAAGGAGAAAACCTCAAAAGAGAGAGAGAACTAGAAGAAATAAGTGGAAGGGCTGGCAGGGAAGGAAGGCTAATCCCAACATGGGCTCCCAAACCCAAGTGAGCTGGGAAGTGATGGGTATGGTGGCCAGGGGAGAAGACCACCATCATGGCAAGAAGTTTGCCTCCTAGTGTGGAGCGGAATGAGGACAGAGTAAACTTCCCATTGGGGCTGTAGCTGAAGGGTTTCGGAAACCCAGCTTAGTGGAAAATGCCAAGGGGAACCAGCATCGATCCCACAGGGACAGGCTGCCTGTATACGTAACATCATGAAAGCAGTATTTTTAGAAGATGGATCTGGCATGGGTGTACTGACGGGGACATAGCAAACTTCTTGAAGTTCCCCAAAGTCTCTCTTTTCCAGGCTTCTTCTCTGTTTCTGAGAATGCCCCATCCTCCCAAGCCTGTGGGAGCAACACCTGCTGTTTCGCCTTAACTCACACGTCACCTCTTCTGGGAAGCCACTAGAGGTCATTTCCTCCTGGGCACCCCCAACTCTACCCTGTATACCACTTTATTTTTACACCCATTCCTTCCTAGGATCATTCTAGGTTTTCACATCTGCTTCCCCTTTCAGACTGTTAGTCTTTTGAAGCCTGCATATTTCCTGGCGGTTACTGACATCCAGCAACAGGCATCATGGCCAGAACCGTGTTTCCACCTATGTGTCCCAGGTGATACCTGGGTCAGGCAAGCACCAGGTGCTGCTGATACACCCTAAAGTTTAGGAACACTGCAGCCTCACCCCTCTCACACAGCCTCATAGGACACCATCTACAAAGAGCATATCATGATATGAACAGTGCCCCCTGGAGTTGTGCACCACAGAGACCTCCTGGAGGACCCAGGTCCTCATGGATTTACTCTTTTTTTTCCTTTGTTTTTTTCTTCCCCTCCCTCCCTTCCTCTCTCCCTCCCTTCCTTCCTTTCATCTTTCTGTCTCTTTTTCTCTCTTTTTTTTTTAGAGTGTGTCACTCTGTCACCCAGGCTGGAGTGCAGTGGCCCAATCTGGGCTCTTTGCAACTTCCACCTTCTGGGTTCAAGCTGGGATTATAGGCACCTGCCTCCATACCTGGCTAATTTTTGTATTTTTTGTAGAGACAGGGTTTTGCCATGTTGGCCAGACTGGTCTCAAATTCCTGACCTCATGCTCCACCCACCTCAGCCTCTCAAAGTGCTCCTGAGCCACCATGCCTGGCCGGATTTAATTTTTTATGTCTGTATCTTCAACATCCTGTACATTATAGGTGCTAAATAACATTTTCTGTAGGAAAATACTATGACTGGAGATTTGGGGGAGGGCAGGTGAGAGAGGAAATACATCTTCTCGTGTAATGTAAATAAAGAATTTGAACTCTGTTTTTAATTTATTATTATTTTTTTTAATCCTGGGTTTGCAGTCTTTTCCCGAGGCTGGGCCTGAATATTGCCATAAATACCAACAGTGACAGTATTAACCGAAGAGCCCAAAGTCTTAGCATTCAGAACCCTGATTTCTTTTCTGAAAACAAAGCCTGAAGCCTACAGCCCAGCCTTCCAGCCTACAGCCCAGCCTTCCAGGCCACTACTGTTGCTTAAGGCTGTGCTGCAATCAGAGGCTCAGGAGTGGGAAGTCCAGAGTTCTACCCGCTTCTGGGAACAGCCCCCATCCCCCTCTCAGCACTAGCTTCCACAGGCAAGTCCTCATGACAGTGGGTCAGGCTCACCCGAGGATTTCACAAATGCCTGGCCTGTTCCCAGCACAGCACAGCTGGGAGGGCTCAGCGCTGTGGGGAAGGAGCATCCTCCTCCTCCCTGGCCCTGCCGTCCTCCAGCTCAGGGAGAGGGAAGGGCTGCGCTTGTCCATGCTTGCCGCCCCACAGGCCGGCGGTCCCGGAGCCTTCCCTCCCTGCTGATTTCCCAGCTTCGGCTTAGTCAAGGTACAAGGAGGAAATATACTGCCGCAGGAAGAAAGGAGCATCCAGGCTTGTCTGCCCAGAAGGCAGCAGCGAGCATTCTCAGAGTCACCTGGGGGGATGCCGATTATTCAGATCCAGGGCTGTCTTCAGGCTTTAAATTCAGAAGAGCTGGGTGGCAGTCCAGGAGTTAGCAGTTTTATCCACACCCTGGAGGGCTGGCCGTAGGTGGTCCTCTGTGCTTGCAGAGGCCTTGAGGGGCAGAGACCTGGAGCTCTGAACAGTGA